CTTATTTTTTTGGTCTTTGTGCTTTTATTGGATAATACAGTCAGAGAGAGACAGGAAAGTAGGGGAGAAGATTGGGGGGAGGACATGTGGGAAAGGGTCATGAGCGGGATTCAAACTCATGACCTCCACATTGGGACTGTAGCCCTGCACATGGGACGCCAGCTCAACCAGGTGAGCTATAGCGGCGCCCCAGGGTTTTATTGCTTTGTTTAACAGTCAGGCAAGAAAACTGACAGAGTCCGTCGGAAATAAGATAAAAACAAAACGTCTTTGTTCTTTCTGTGCGGCCCGGTACCGGTCCGCGGACTGGTGGTTGGGAACCGCTGACCAGAGGAAGCGTCACTACTGGAAGTTCATGTTGAAGCACAGAGCATTGTGGGAGTTTAGCAGCAATGGGACCATGACAGAGACTGTGAGAAGGTTCATGACCTCCAACCAGAACTCAGGAGTTAAAGACAAACTGGATCAACCAGGACAGAGTTCTGATATCAGAGTCACATTTATAAAGAGCTGCCTTTGCTGCTGAAATCACATCTGCTGACTAAAAAATCAACGTTAGCACAATTCACGTGCTTGGTCTGAGAAATTTATTGATAGTGCTGCAGATTTTTGATAAAGAAAATCATTCAAATTTGCATCTTTAATGTTTTGACATAAAATTGCGTTCATCCTTTACAACACCTTCGTTTTGTGACGGCGACTAAACCAAAGATGGTGCTCATGTTTGTAAAAAGTCTTCATCAGGAGCTAAAGACAAAGAGTTTGAGGAGCTCAGAGCTTCACGGACATGAATGAACCGCAGATTGTTCCACAGAGACTTGATGTGGGAGTTCACCGCCCCCCCCCCAGAGGAATCCATCATGTCTGAATGAAGCTGTGTGGGGAATTATGTCAGGGACGGTCCTCACAAGAGTAGCAGCTCCGCCGTGTGTGAGTGTGTTGGTGAGGAAGAATATAATTGGCTGCTGATTCAGCAGCTTCCAGCCGACCAGTCAGCAACACTGAGAGTTTATCTGCAGACACACACTCAGCCGGCTGACTCACACGGATTATATGTGTGTGTGTGTGTGTGTGTGTGTGTGTGTGTGAGAGAGAGAGTGTGTCAGTCATACATGTGTTTGTAGCGCCACAGTCCTCATAAGGTCAATCATTACATTCAGTTTGAAGACTTGGTTTAAAGTCAGAATCAATGAATGTAAGTTTGTGTGTGTGTGTGTGTGTGTGTGTGTGTGTGTGTGTGTGTGTGTGTGTGTGTGTGTGTGTGTGTGTGAGCGAGAGAGAGAATCTGCAGCTAATTAAAGGTGCAGTCACACATTTTAGCATGAGGCCTGCAGACACACGAGGACACACTTCGGTCCTGCAGCCGATTAGCTTGTTGTGTCTGTGCAGCAGATTTGTTCGTTAACTCTGTAACAGCTGAAAGCTTCTCTTGTTCCGTTAGTTAAAATCACAGGTTTGGTTTTAACTTTAGCTGTTGTTGACGAACTCTGTGTTCTTTAACTTTCTATATTTCACTGCAGTCGTTCATCATATCCGTCAATAACAACATCAGAATCCTTTAAACTCTAAACAGATATCTGACATATTACCTGATTATTATAAACCTGCAGTATTGGAAAGTAACTGAGTACATTTGCTCAAATTTTACGAGTTATTAGTGTTTTACTTGAGTGTTTCCGTTGTTGTTGTGCTTCTCTGTCTTTCCACCTCCATGTAATGTTATAAATTTACATAAATCTGTATTCTGTAAAAATTAATAATCGTGTTCAACTTAAAACCATCTGTAACCTGGCTGCCTTAAGCTGCAGTTGTTTGTACACGAGTTCTTTAAATGTATGATTTATAGTTTTCAAAGGTCCCATCGACTTTATGCTTCAAGTTCAATCGACAAGTTTTGTTAGTAGAAACGATGAGATATTTCAAGTTATGCAAACCTAAATCCAAACTGAAACACAATAAAAGTCATTTGAACTGAGCTTTGTGTTGATTTCATTCATATTCTTTAGTCGTGCAAACAAAAGGCGTCTTAACGAAGCAGTTTATTGAATTAAGTCGTCTTTTTAGGTGAGTTTTTCAGGAGTAGTTTGTCTTAGAATACTTTCTTATTTACTTTTCTACTAAAGTTGAGCTCACTATCTGTGTATAAATGCTCGTTGGAGGTCATCAACCGATACACAAGTCTTTGTCATGGCGCCACCTAAATCCACACAGTGACCTTTAACATTAACAACACAAACAATATCTTTATTTCCCAACATTTAGAGCAAAATGTACAATAGCAACAGTACTCAAATAGACATTTTTCTTGGCTATTTTTTATCTGAAATGATAACGTTCCAGTAAAGGACAATCTAATCTGAACCAACTCGTTCATCCACATCATCAGAATTCAAACTCGACACAACTGAAGCGACAATCGCTCAAGTTTTCATTCAACTGTTTGGATCTGAACAATAACACTCCCGTGGTTCCTTCAAACACAGAAGTGACCTCCTCCTCTGGTCAGTCTGGTGCCAAACCAGTGAGAGGCTCCACCTGGTGGAGCAACCAGGTACTGCAGCTGATCCTCAACACATTTTCTGACGCGCACGTCCTTCGTCTTCGTCTACATAAATCAGTTAATTGATTCAGCTGTAACACTGATTCCTCTGGTGGCTCTTTGGAGGGCCCTGATCCATATGTTGGGAACCACTGCGATGCCAATGCGGCTCTGATCAGGATCAATAACCAGATACGTTGATTAATTAGTTGTACTTTTACTGCAGTACAGGACGTGGTGGGTTTCAGGCCTGAGCAGATTTCTGCCCCTGAGCTCGTCTTCTTAGGCAGAGACACAAACAAACAAACAAACAGGAAAAACAAAAGTAAACAAACAAGCTGCTGAGGTCGGAGGTGGGATGTGTTCAGGTTCTGTCTGAGCTCTCAGACTCTGGAGGTTCAGATCCAACCGAGTCACCAAACAGAGGCTCATTAAAGCTCCGCTCTGTTTATACCCGTTTTGGAAGTGAAACCAGAACCTTTGTGTTCGCCCACGTGACGCTGCGTTCGCTGTCCTCTGGAGAACCGGCCGCTCTGTGAACCGTGCTGTCTGGGTTCCTTCACAGGGCTTTATCCAGAACCGCAGTGCAGCCGTGTGTGTTCAGATCCATTGTGTGTTTGCTTGTACAGCAGGTGTGTTCCTGTTTGCCTTCATTTCATCATTTCATCACGATACAGCAACAAACTGGTTTCAAACCTGTTCCTCTGTTCAGTCGGAGCTCAAACTATTGTCAGAATGTTTGCCTTCGTATTGATCAGCAGAGTGTAGAAACGGACATTGTGGTATTTAGTTTTTCTGGTAAATGAAAAAGCATCAAAACAGTTTAATTATAATTTGTCAGCTGTAAGAATCCGTCTGAGGTTCTGCTTCACTCGTCCTCATGCTCAACATGTTGTCTGTTGTTATACAAACTTCTCATCTCACTTCATTATCGTAAGGAAAAATAAATCAGACACTTTCCAGCAGTTTGGCCTCATTGATAAAGTCAGACTGATGTAGAGCTTTATCTGTTGTAGCTGCAGAATGCTTCACAGGGATGTTCTGATCTAATCTCAGATCTGAATCGGCGCTGATGAAGGCATTTCTAACCGACGTGAACCTCAGGTGGATCCTTTGTCTGCTGTCACATAAGTTTCCTACAGAGAGCACGACTAGTTGCAGGACACCAGGGATGCACATTTTGAATATTTATTTATTATCAATAGATATTGAATTAATTGATAACAGATTGACCACAGCAGCCTTCCGTCCTGTGCTGATGTCGCCACTGTGATACTGACGTCCCGTTTACAAGTAGCAGAAATTGAGATATTTCAACAGGCCTTTGGTTTGCACATAAATGAAGCTACAAGTCAGCGATCACATCTGGAAACTCCGGCCAAAGTGGAGATTTGGAAAGACTCAAATTAAAGTTTTACAGATGTTTCTTTGCTTCAGGCTGCAGAACTGAAACTGACCGTTGTGATTAGTTTAAAGGCACAAAGTTGTTTCTTATCCATCACATTACATCTGCAGAGGGAACAGAACGCCTGTTATATTCAACGATGCCGATTAAGCAGGTAAATCTGTATTTTCACAGCATACAAGAGGTTTACAGCACATGAACACATGAACAGTGTGGTTTGCTGGATGTCATTCAGATCTTAGTGCTTCTAATTTAAATGGTTAAACTAGTTGCTGACAGAAGCCTGTTTTTGTTCGACATCGTCTTTCTTAGCTGAAATACTGACATACGATTACTGTCTTATTACAACCGAATCCTTCTCTTCAATCTTTTCGGACATTTTACATCATTCGTGATTCATTTTGGATGAATGTTGAGACAGTTTCAAAGCATCTTGAACAAAACTTGATTGATGTCGGACAAGTTGTGAGACGTTTTGGACAAGATTCGAGTAATTCAATTTGGAAATAAGGCGTCCTAGTGTCACATGTTGTCTGCGTTCGGTTTTCTATTTCACAGTTGATCATTTCTCGATGTTTCTCTGCTCATGTGGAGTCAACAAACTCTGTCCTTTAAATGAAGTTTAAAACACTCAGTGCATCCAAGAAGCCTTAAATCAAACGATTTCCTCAGACAACACGGAAAATGAGAACGGCTCATTGAATCAGCGAATGAAGTCGCAGCGTGATGTGTTTGAGCCGTTTTCCTTCCTTTGCTTTACAGACCTGTAAACGTATCGTGCAGCTTTAATCGGCGATGATGCTGGTAAACGTTAAACACATTTCTTTGAGCTCGAAGATCCATGCGATCGGCTGAGAAACAGGAAACTGCACAGAGACTTCAAATTAAAAGATCAGGAGAGGATCCTGATAAATCAGATGAAGCGTCTGCTCTTCATTACCTTCAGTTCAGTCAGACTTAATCTGCTTCAAGTTATTTCATGTTCTGACTGATTCTTTATTTGTTCATGTTTTGTGTGAATCCGTCCTTTAACTCCGTGACCTCGTGTGTCTGCAGGTGCGTCGTCGTCCTGCTGAACCCTCGTAAGAACAAACAGCATCACATCTTCAACAGCTCCAGGTAAACCTCAGCCGGCCAATCAGATCGCTGCTCCTTCCTGCTCCAGAACTAATCCCAGATATAAAATCTGTCTTTGCTCCTAAACTGTGAGGAAACGTCACAGAAACGACGTTTAACAACGATGAAGGAGAACAACACCAGGACTGTTTCTGTTTCATGTCAGGATGATATCAAACTGGAATCCTAAAACCAGACTGAGAACTTTAAACCTCCGTCTGTCTGTTTTCAGGAAGGCCATCACCACGTTGGCATTTTCTCCAGATGGCAAATATGTTGTTACGGGAGAGGTGAGTGTTCGAAGCTGAAGGATCCATGACTGAACAACAAAACAGTTACAGACACAGCAGAAACGTGAAGTAGAAGAGTTCAGGAGTCACAGCCGGTCACTTCCAGACTTTTTAGCTTGTTGTCCTTTTCAACAGCGACTCGTAAAAAAATCGGAGTTAATGAATCAAGGAGTCAGAGTCCACGAGTCTAAGAATCAAATAAATAGTCAGTCAACAAATCAAAGAATCAGTGAGCCAAAGAGTCAGAGAATTAAAGAGTCAAAAAGTCAAAGAATCAAGAAGCCAGAGAGTGAAATAAATAAAAAAAAGAGTCAGAGTCAGTGAGTCAAAGAATCAAACCTTCTCACATTGTTTCATGTCACCTTAAATCTTTTATTCAAAGAGTTTCAGCCTCAGATTGTTGCAGATATTTGAATAGAACTTTAATAATATTCTAATCATATTTAATATCTCCTGAGAGCGGTCACATGCCGGCGACTCGAGTCTTCAGTGTCACATTAATTCATATATTTTAATAGTATTTAAATCATACTTTGATAATATTTAACAATATTTTAATAATATTTTCATATTTAATGTCCTCCTCAGAGCGGTCACTTTAGTCTCACATGAATTCACATTCTTTAATAATATTCAATAACATTTCACAGATATTTAATCACATTTTACTGATATTTATCAATATGTAATCGTATTTATCGCCCCTCAGAGCGGCCACATGCCGGCGGTTCGAGTCTGGGACGTTTCTGAACACGTTCAGGTGTCGGAGCTGCAGGAACATAAATACGGAGTCGCCTGCGTGGCCTTTTCACCGAACGGAAAATATATCGTCAGCGTCGGATACCAGCACGACATGATAGTCAACGTCTGGAACTGGAAGGTGATCCATCAGTGATTGATAACTGATCAACGAGTGATTGATGACAGGTTGGATCTGATCGTATGAGTGATAAATCCTGTTCACCTGCTGACGCTCGTCGTTGTTTTCAGAAAAACGTGGTGGTCGCAGCCAACAAGGTTTCCAGCAAAGTGACGGCCGTCTCCTTCTCAGATGACAGCTCGTACTTCGTCACCGCCGGCAACCGACACGTGAAGTTCTGGTACCTGGACCATGCCAAGACATCCAAGGTAGTCGCGCCGACCAATCGGCTGCCTCGGAGCGGCGGGCGCGGCCAGGTACTGACGCTGTGTGTCGTCTGCAGGTGAACGCCACCGTCCCCCTGCTGGGGCGTTCGGGGCTGCTGGGAGAACTCAGGAACAACTTCTTCAGCGATGTGGCGTGTGGGCGTGGCCGCCAGGCGTCCTCCACCTTCTGCATCACCTCCTCCGGCCTGCTGTGCGAGTTCAACGACCGGCGGCTGCTCGACAAGTGGGTGGAGCTTCGGGTGAGTTCTCGTAACGTTTCTACGACGTTTTCTACCAAGTTTAACCCTCTGAACTGAAAGCTGTTTTTTCAGATAAAAACTGTTAGAAAGAAAGAAATATATACAAAAATTGTAAAAAAAAAAACAAAAAACAAAAAAAAAACTGCAAATATGGAAATAAAGAGTCAAAATATAGATAAATGGTAAAATTCTGAGATAAAAATTCATAAATATAAAGTTGTATGTCAAAAATCTAAGATATAAAGTCAAAATTATGAGATTTAAGTAAAAAATAATGCGTGAATTTTTTTTCTGGAAATGTGTGTATGGTAAAATGTCATAATTATAAAATAAAAGGTTAAAAATCTGGATTATTGTTTTAAATTCTGAGAATAAAAGTCAAACTTTGAATACAAAATCACAAACATGAGAAAAAAATAATTACAAAAAAATAAAGTGTTAAGGTTATGATTTGAAATTTACATTTAGCTGATAAATCGATTTAGTTTTTTAAAGAATCTTGTACAGTTTATTTTTAGAGATGTTTTTTAAATGAACATGTAGAATACAGTGATTTAGATCAAATACCACATTTTAGGCTGAGTGTGGTTGACTTTTCCTGATAAAACTACATCACAGATGATTCGTTCATTGGAAAGTTCTTGTCTTTACAGTTTCAGGCTGATAAATGATCTTGGTTTAGAGATAAAACAGATTTCAAGCTCAGTAGTGGGTTTTGGGGTTCGGAGGGTTAAACACACCAGATGTTCCAGCTGTTTTCCGCCGCTGGAACGTACCAACCTGGAGCCTGATGGTTTTTTCAAGGTTCTTCTTGTGTTTTCTGGATGTTTGTGCACCTCAGCTGGCCTCTCTTTCTGTGATTTAAATCTTATTTCTGTGCTGTGAGTCGCTCTAATGTGAAGTTCCTCTGCTTCCTCCTCCGCTTCCTGTGCAGAGAGTCGACTCTGCCGCCGTAAGTCGTCGCCTTGCCTCGACTCAGTCACCTCAGCAACACATCAGACATAAAGATCATCCCTCATCGTCGGTGTTTCACAGCTGCAGAGTCCAGAGCAGCTCGTTTATTATTCATCACATTCTACAGATGTTTTATTAATGCTTTTGGACTCTTCTCTCACCTCCATTAATATTTTAATGATATTCCTCGCAGCTGCTCAGCGTAGAAACCCGCCAGTGGAGCAGCTGATGGATTTTTATTCAAACTCTGTTGGCTCAAACTATAAAAAAGTCAGAAATAGCGTGTTCAGACTGACAAGGCAAAAATAAAAACGTCTTTAAAAGAAAAGAATCCACAGAGAAAAACATGGCTGGCTGAACTGACTGACTCGGACACGCTCACTTGCCTTTGCTCACCCTCATTGGTCGGTTTCACGACACGCCGCTGTCACTCATTACCAGCTCTCCTCCTGACTGGCAGACACACGTATCACCCCGCCCACTCTCTGATTCACAGATTCACGAAGGACCCTGAACGCAGCATCGCTCACCTCCACCGTCACAACTTATTTACTGCAGTTTAACTGTTTCAGTCCACATTCATCCATTAACTCCACTGTAGTCCACTATATTTCACATTTTGCCCATTATAGTCCAAATTAAATTAAAGGCCAATTAAAGGCCACACTTAGCCTTTCAGACAGACCATTATAGTCCATATTTAGCACATTCAGTCTATTGCAGTTCACGTTTAGCCCACCATAGTCAATGTTGTTCCATTATTGTCCCTATTTAGTCCATTATATTCCATATTTAATCCATTAGTGACCAATATGATCGATAATAGTTGACATTTAGTCTGGTACACTTCACATTTAGCCCTCTAATGTCCATGTTACTTCATTATAGTTCACATTTAGACCATTTAGTCTACTGCAGTCCACATGTAGCCCACTACAGTCCATGTTGTTCCATTGTAGTCCCTATTTATTGATTGAATTTCCCTTCTGGGATGAATAAAGTATTTTTCATTTCATTCATTTCATTTCATTTCATTTCATTTCATTTAGTCCATTATTGACTATATTTAGTACAATATGGTCGCTAATAGTTGAAATTTAGTTTGGTGCACTTCACATTTAGCCCTCTAAACTCCATGTTACTCCATTATAGTCCATTTTTAGGCCATTGTGGTTTACATTGAGTCTATTGCATTCCACATTTAGCCCAACATCGTCCATGTTATTCCATTATAGTCCTTAATTAGCTCATTTTTAGTCCATTGTAATACACATTTTGCCCATTATATTCCATATTTAGTCCATTATAGTCTACATGTAGTGGATTACAGTCCACATTTGCCCACTCTAGTCCATCTTACACCATTGTTGTCCACATTAACTCCATTATAGTGCATATTTTGTCAATTTTAGTCCTTCATAGTTTACATTTAGTCTATGGTTATTCCTTCAGAGTCTATATTTAGTGCATTGTCATCCAAATTTTTTCCATACTAATCCACATTTAGTCCATTATTCATGATATTTAGTCCATTATAGTCTATTTCTAGTCCTTTACAGTCCACATTTAGCCCAATATAGTTCATTTTATTCCACTAAAGTCCACATTTAGTCCATTATGGTGCATATTTAGTCAATTACAGTTCTTCATAGTCCATATTTAGTGCATTATCGGCCATTAATGTCTACATTTAGTCATTTACTGTCTAATTAGTCCATTAAAGTCAATTTTTATCCACTATAGTCCATATTTTATCCATTAAAGTTTACATTTAATCTATTACAGTCAACATTTAGCCCTCTGTAGTCAACATTACTCCATAACAGTCCATATTTTGTCCTTTATAGCTGATATTTATTCACCTGTAGTCCACATATTGTCCGTTACAATCCGTTATAGCCCAGTGCAACCCAATCAGAGCTGCAGGATCACGAACAAGCTCAGCATTACTTAGATTTTCTGAAACACGTAGATTTAACCCTGAAGACCTGAACATGTTTTTGGTATTATTGATCACAGGCTGCTGTCTACTAACGCGGGTTCTCAGGACACTTCCATTCATCACCATGGTTCTCATCACTCAGCTGGAGCTCAGTGTTTTCCTGATATGTGACTCACCTGTCCACCTGTCTGTCCACCTGTCTGTCTGTCCTCAGACGGCTCAGGCCACCTGTCTGTCCGTCACAGACGAGTTCATCTTCTGTGGATGTTCCGATGGAACCGTTCGAGCCTTCAGCCCTGTCAACCTGCACTTCCTGTGCACTTTGCCCCGCCCACACTCTCTGGGCGCTGACATCGCCAGTATGGTGGACGCCAGGTAACAGACACACCTGTCAGCTAACACACACCTGTCATATAGTTCCTTATAGTCCGTTGGAGTCTACATTTAGCTACTATAGCCCATCATAGTCCAAATTTAATCCATTGTAGTCCATTATAGTCTACATTTTGTCATTTGTTCCATTATGGTCCACATTTAGTCCATCATATTACACATTCAGTTCTTTATAGTCCACTAAGTCCACAATAAGTCCATCATAGTACAGTTATAGTCCACACCTGATCCATTATAGTCCATATTTAGCCCCAGTGGTCCACATTACTCCATAAAGCTCCACCTAGATTATTACAGTCCATTTTAGTCCACGTTTAGCCAATTACAGTGAGTCACAGTCCATTATAGTCCATTGTTATTTGTTAATCGTCCGCATTTATTCCATTTCAGACTGCAGAACTTTATTTAACCTCAGAACAACAAACTCCAGTCTGTTCGTTATTCAGACGTCAGCTGACGATTCCACATGTTGACAGAATGAAAACCTCAGAAGCCGCAGCTTGGTTTTTACTTTCATCATGTTCAGTTACCACCTCTCTGCCTTTCTCTCCATCCTCTTCGTCCTCAGTCAGCTGTTCTCCTGCAGGGTGGAGTCTCGTTACCCGGACACCGTGGCGGTGACCTATGATTCCACCAATCGCTGGCTGTCGTGCGTCTACAATGACCACAGTGTTTATGTTTGGGATGTACGCGACCTCCGCGACCCCCGGCGGGCTGGAAAGCTCTACTCGGCCCTCTACCACTCGTCCTGTGTGTGGAGCCTGGAGGTCAGTCTGAGGGTTACTCGTGTCGTGGTCGCTGGAGTTTCCTCTGAGGACAATAACCAAGTCCCTTTAAAAACAAACACAACTCTGTGTTTGAGTTTCAGTCTTTGGAGTGAGGACGTGTTAATCGTTTTCACTGTGGGTTCAGGTTAGAATCAGGTTTATGGTTCAAGTCCTGGGAAGCATTGTGTCAGTGAAGGTTCCCACAGACACAGACAGTGTAAATCACAGACACAATGGAGGCCGGCTTCAGTCCCACATTCCACAGAAGTTAAAGGTCACAGAGCTGAAACAGCAACAGAAGCTGCAGCTCTGACTTTCTGCTTTTCACTGACCTCAAACAGCATCTCTGCTAGAATATGTTGCTGTGTTTCCTGAGAAATATGGGCATGGCTGAGGTGTACAGGTGTGCAGAGATGATACAGGTGTTTGTAGCTGTACAGATGTGCAGGTGTAGGTAATATGTGAAGTATATCCAGAGGTTACATGCAGCTGCTGCTGAGAAACTCTCCAGGTGTGTTAAAATACCTGAATGTCCTCCATGTATCACCTGCGTCCACCTGTACTGACTCCTCCCACTGTGTCTCCTGCAGGAGTATCCGGAGGGGGGAGGAGCAGGTAGAGTGGGAGGTGATGTGCGTCTCCCCCCTGGATCCTTCCTGACCTGCTCCTCAGACAACACCATCCGACTGTGGAACATCGACGGACGCAACGTTCTCCAGAGGAACATCCTGAGCCACGTAAGACAGCACACACCTGTATGTCTCACCTACACATGCATTTCTATCTTGATACTTCATCAAACACCTGTAAACCTACACATCTATAAACATATAACTGTGGACTAACATGTAGACCTACACCTGTACACCTGTACACACCTACACCTGTACATTGAGACTTGCACACCTGTAGAACTTTATACCTACACCTGTACATCTGGATACCCGACAACTGTACACACACAGCTATACACCTCACAACAACGACAGCTGTACACCTACTTTGTACACCTGTACACCTCACCTACACCACGCATCACACCCACAACTGTACAAATCTGCATATCTACACCTGCCCACCACAACTCCACCTGTATAACACTGAGCTGTGGCCCTTCAGGACCTGCAGAAGGTGATTTACGTGGACGACAGCATAGCCAGCCTGCTGGACACGGACAGCATCACCGTCACCGGCGGCAACAGCGAGAAGGCGGGGCCAACGGGATCGGAGGGGCAACAGACGGACCAGAGCAGGGCGGGCATTAGGACCCTGAGAGTCAGTCCCAATGGACGGCACCTGGCCTCTGGAGACCGAATGGGAGTCCTCAGGTGAAGGGGGGTCGTCAGGTGTTTCCATGATGTTTGTATTGTGTTTGTATGGAGTTTGTGCTCTTTTGTGATGTCTGTCGGATGTTTTCTTGTTGTTTGTGTGTTTGTATGACGTTTGTATGTTGTTTGCGTGTTTCAGGATCCACGATCTGGACAGTATGGAGGAGATCTTGAACGTTCAGGCTCATGACTCAGAGATTCTCTGCCTCGAATTCTCTAAACCAGACACAGGTGAGAAACTCTTCAGGATCCACAAATTACTACAACATGTCATAATGTTTATAACAACGTGTACAGGGTATACACAATGAAATAGATTTACTCATTATATATAACAAAATATATACAGTTCTAACGATACACAAAATACAGAATATGTAAACATAATATACACATCAAATAAGAATGTTATGTATAAACATCATTTATAGCACAACGTATATACAACCGTATGCAATAAACACAAAACATCTCATATGTTCCACAACTTATACACAATATAATGTATAAACACACAACAGTATGTATATATATATATATATATATATATATATATATATATATATATATACAAAAGACAAAATGAGGATGTAACACAACATATATATACAGACTATAAACAACAATGTGCAGTTTGTAATTCACATATAAAGAGAAGATTTAACAACAGAATATGTAAACATGCGACTAAACCATAGACCAAATTACAACATGTACCGTAAAATATACACAATATAATGAAGCTACACAAATATATAAATATAGAAACACTATAATTAAGATACGGTGTAATGTAAATAACGATAACTGATTCACCTGAGGCTGTAAACACCTTAGAGGCTTCTGTGAAGGTGATGAAGCCTGTAAATCCAAAGTGTGGGAATCTTTCTCCCAAACTGTCAGCTGACCTCAGAGCTGCTGCAGGCAGGTTGAACCGACGCCGACCTCCACCTCAGCGAGTTCGTGGTTCAGTTGTGGCTTCCGTGACGTCACGAGCGTTTCAGCAATAGGAGGCCGGGCAGACTGCTGGCATTTTTAGTTAAACTCCTTCTGTGATCAGCTGATTCTCTCCTGATATCTGTCAGTGGCTGAAACCCCAAACTGACGATTAAAGGTCTTTCCCAAAGTGACAAAGTGTCTTCAATCGGTTAGTAAACGCATCAGTCCTCATGGAGACCATGTTCAGACGTACAGACAGAGAACGCGGCCAGTAAACGTCTCACCGGCTCGTCTTCAGACAGTAAAACCTGAAAACTCAACAGAACGTCGTGTTTCTGTCGACCAGGAAACAACAGCAGAGACGGAGGAATGCTGAGGCTCGTAAACACACAATGAGACGCACAAACACCAGTTTAACAGCAGCAGCGGCGTCGCATCGGTTCAGCAGTCAGGACGAGTGTAAAACGTAAAGATATCTGGTTAAAGTGATGAAGAAAAGGCAGAAAAACAGCAGATATGTTAAAGGCTGCAGACTGAAGAGGGGCTTAGATGCACTTATATACTAAACTTCAGAAATCTTCAGCTAATCAGTGAAATCTAAAACCTCAGTTAAATACAAGCAAGTAGCTCAAATGTTTTCAGCTGTTTGAAATATCCACTGCAGTGATGTGAATTTTTTATAGTATACAAACAAAAATTCTTGATTTATGTTATGTAGTATAACTTAATTAAATACATCGTTAACAGAAGCCACTAATAATTATGCTGCTGTTAATCAGTGTTATATAAAACCAGAGGCTGTAATAATTTGATGAGTGGCCAAAAGTATGTGGACACCCAGTGCCACATTGCCAGTATTACCAGAATATTGTTGTAAATGTAGCTGTCCACATACTTTTGGCAAAGTAGTGTATTTTTGCAGAGAAATCATGAGTTAAAGTATGTGCTTATACAACATATGGCCGAAAGTATGTGGACGCTCCCCACCATAGTGGATACAATTATATATTAATCATCATAAACGTAAACATTCAGCCATCCTCATACTTTTGCACAAGTTGTGTGTTTGTTGCAGAGGAATCAGCACAAGTCTCCAGTTTATACCCAAAAGTATATGGACATACGTTGGCCCAGTGCAGTACTCATTATACTTTACTGCAACATTCCGTCGTCCACATACTTTGGCCTTCTCCATTAACCCTGCTGCAGACCATAATAGCAGCTGTAACCATGGTAACTATACACAAAGATGGGCACAGCTGTAAGAGTATAAACATTAAAACAGTCCATTAAACTAACAGCGTCTCAGAAGGAACAGCAGCAGTCGTCTCGTTTACAGTCAGAATGTTTAACGTCAGTCCGTCTATCCGTCTGTCTCTCAGGTCTCCAGTTATTAGCCACGGCCAGTCGGGACCGTCTGATCCACGTCCTGGATGCCGGCAAAGAGTACAGCCTGGTTCAGACTCTGGACGAACACTCGTCCTCCATCACCGCCGTCAGATTCGCAGGTCAGTCGCCTCTGCCACGCTCCAACTTTATACACCTGTAAAGTTTAGTTCCCTCCGCTTCCTGATGTTTAACCTTCTTTTTTCTGCCCGGCAGCCAATGAGGGGAAGGTGCGGATGATCAGCTGCGGCGCCGATAAGAGCGTCTACTTCCGCACGGCTCAGCAGGTGAGATTGACACCTGAGTGACGTCACAGAGCAGGTCTTAGTCTCCTGGCTTCAGCTGAAAATAAACCAAGTCGGTTTAAAATATGTATTTATTCTGCCCCCTGCAGGCAAAACACAGTAACTACAGATACAGACTCAACTTAGAGTAAAATACTGATAATATTCATATTTATTTGTCGCCTTTAAGAGCTTCTCCTTTATGAATATTGATATCACAGATAGGCATAGAAACTTAGAAACACCTGATTTTATATAAATTCTGACCTGAATTTTCTTAAATCATGTACAAATAATAACTGACCTCATTAAACAATACAGAAAAGTAAAAATACTTCATTGCAAGAAAAACCTGCATCTTAAACAACGGTCAGATGAATCTAGTAAAGAGTAAAGTACAATATTTCCTCTGAAATGGTCAAAAGGAACTTCAGACTTGAGTACGTTGGGTTGGTAAATCTACTCAGTGAGTTTTCGGCACTAAAAAGAAATTAAACTTGTTTCTTCTTCAATTTTTGTACATTTGAATTAATGAACTAATTTAAATAAACCGAACTGTCAAAACTCCTGAATCCAATCAGAAACTGCAGCTGCTCTGCTATGCTAAGCTAGTTAGCATTTAGCACAACTAGCTGCTGTCTTTTCCAGTAATTTAAGATTTATCTGTTTATCAAATTCAAAGAAAAACAAAGAAGTGGGTAAATTGTTAAATTCAGTCTTTGTTTTCAGCTGTTTTTATAGTTTGTTTAAAGTTTCTGGGCTTTTTACAGCACAACTTAAACATCTGATTGTATAATATTTGTCATTAATCTGTGAAGGACCGTGAACAAAACCATCATTCTCATTGGAGAACAGAGGAGCCAGATTTAGTTCCCTTCCATCTGCAGTTTCTGGGCAGGTAGACGCAAATACTAAATATATAACACATATCTAAGATACTAAATACAAATTTAACATTCATGTAAAACCTTAAAACAACTATAAAACACACTCTGTCTATTCACATCAGAATTTAAACACAATATAAATATTTTTTTGAGCTAAATTTACCTTCGGTCTGTTTCTTTAGGTTTGGTTGCAGTACTTCTGCTGTGTATTGTTCAGCTGAGTTAATTACATCTAATTATCTGTAGATAATTAAATCTACAGCGTAACCTCAGAGCTGCTTCTCTGTAACTGAACCAAAGTCAGTCTGTTGAAAGAACTCCTTCGATTAAGATCAAGCTGATTATTAGTTATTGATCCGAGAACCCAGAGATGAAAGTTTTACTGTTCAAAGTAACTAAAACACAAAAGAAAGTGAACCAGAAAACAGAGCTGAAAGTCTCTGTGGGGGTCGAGTCATCACGTCAGCTTCCTGTTCAGGTGGTTCTGACGCTGTGACGTCATTTCCTCTTCCTCAGATGGGGGAGGGGCTGGAGTTCACTCGCACGCATCACATCGTCAGGAAGACGACGCTGTACGACATGGACGTCGAGCCGACCAGGAAGTACGCAGCAGTGGGCTGTCAGGACCGCAGCATCAGGTAGCTCATGATACAC